TCAGAACGTGATCACGACTTAAATATAAAATAAAATACCAATGTAACATTTCTCAAAATTGGGACTCAGTGAATCTTCTTCATATATGCTGTCTATCGGTAGCCATTACGACTCCGTAAGGAGGATCGTAGGAGGTTATCCCTATATTAATATCTCTCCTTACCGGATAATCCACCCAGCGCGCCCAGGAAAGGTTGGTCACACCACCACCAGGGCCTACGTCCTCTACTCTTTTCGAACAGTGCCGGGTTCTTTTACTTCCCACAAAAACCAGATAGGTGAAAGTGCTTTGAGACGGGAGCTCCCTCTTTTTTTTTCGTCCTTATCGGAAAAGACTAGAAAGTCTAACGGTTTGCAGATGTTATTGCAAGGGCAGGAGTTTCTTTTCAGTTGTTTAAATACCCTTAGTGTTGTTCCGGCCAGGGTTTGAACCCGCGACTTCCCGCTCAGATTACAGACAGGCGCTCTCCCAAATGAACTAATCAGGCGGTAGTCTACCTTGTAAGTAGAGCCATTATCTAGATTTTGAAGTTTAACATTGTTTCACGCCACCCTACTCCGGAACAAAGTCGTGGGGTGGCAGCTAAGAAGTCAGGAAGTACTTGTAAAATTCGCTGAAACCAGTACAATGACATTTGATAGTCTCAGCCAAAAAAATATATCCTGAAAAATACAGTCAGTATTTGTTTTTACGCTTTGTGTGCAATATTTTTCCATGAAGCTCAAAAACGAGGCAACACAAAGGAACTAATTAGCCGTTTTTCTATATCGCTGCAGGTCATTTCCTTGTCAATAACATTCCTTTCAGTTGCAACTTATACCTTCGTTTTCGCTCTGAAACACATGCAATACAGATGAAGATATCTATTTAGAAATTCTTCTTTAAGGCTATATTATTGACAGCTCTTTTCTAAGAATATTGGAATTTGAGGCAACATTGCTCAGACACATACTATATACTTCGCAAAATTTTGGCAGCTAAAAAGACGTTTAATTTCGGTATTTTTTTTCTTTACTATTTTTTGCTGATTCACCCAATTGGCTGTTTTTTTTATATGTCGCTGCGTGTCGTTTCAAAAACAGTTTTCAGGTGCAACTAATGCCACCTTTCCTCCATAAAATAGATGTAATAGAGTACCACAAATAGTTTTGTTTTTTCAAGACGACAGAAAACAAAAACTTTTTCACATCGTTTTCCGGCAGTTGCAATGCAACAAAATTTAACAAAAATACCAATAAATATGAAAAACGAAGGTTATTAACCAACTTTTAAAACTTCTTAAGGTAAACTTAATAACTTTTAGGCCCATTGTACTATCTTGGAACTGTTTCACGCCTTCTTTCAAGCCAGTCCAGTGAGATTAAAAATATTTCAGTGTTAACGATATTTCAAGAATGAAAGGATACACAGCGATCATTAAGCAGCTAATATTTGCCGAGATATCACAGGTTTCTCATTCTATTACCAAATAACAGCGACTGTACAACTGCAAACACCAGCTGAAGAAAAACAACAACAAAAAAGGATCCTTCAAGAAAAAAGAAATGTAGCTTGAGGACGATTTAAAAGAAAATTGCAAGTAAACAAAAATATACTTTTAAAAAATGCTGCTTAATTCCGTTACAGCTGCTTCATTTGTCCTCAAACATTCAAGTTTTAATTTTCTTCCAGCTGCTTAATTTTGTCTTTGCTTTCCCCCGACTATCAGGCGTTTTTGCACCTTTTGCTGTGATGGACGTTTCCCCTTATTTCGAAACAAATTCAAGCTGAAACAAAATTAATTTTGGCTTTTAATAAATCCTTTGGCTTTTAATAAATCGTCCCATCTATTAACTATTTTAGTTGGTAAATTGTGAAGAAGACATTGAATTTCTTGAAATGCCCTTATCTGGATTAAATTTAGTGCTTTCTTCATAAACGAAAAAAAGAAAGAAAGAAAGAAAGAACTGAAATAAAGAAAGAAAATTTATAATTGCTTGGTAGTTAGTTAAGAGTTCATCTTGCTGGATGTTTTTGGTACGACGGAAACTAAATTAAGAATGTACACGCGTTATGTTCCCCTTATGGGAACAAGTAGTTAAAAAGGTCACCCTCAAAATTTCACAACAAACGAAGACTTTGTTGGTGAGAAATACATGCACAAAAGTTGTTTGAGAAAGTTACCTGGAAGGAAAATTCTGACAAAGGTGATACGAACTTATTAAAAATGTTAACAAAAGTAATAAGAATACTTACCAGGTAAATATCTTCCAACGTTAAAGAAAGTACAAAGCTGTTTGCGTGTACATGTCTTATGTATTTGTGTAGTTAAGGCTCGCTATGTCCTGATAAGAGTCTCAGGGAACAATTCTAGTATTTTCTTTTATTAAGTACCTCTAATAGTTTTAGCTCTGCGGCAGTGCTTTTGTTAATCACACCTCAATTGTTTCCGGCTTTGTTTGGCAAACTATTTTATATTTTTTGAGATTCACCAAAATCAACTCTTTTTGGCCATTAATGTTACCGCCTACGATTCAGGTGGCGAGTAAGAATTTAGTGGTTTAAGAAACTGCTGGCAGAAATTTGCCACTCTAATAGCCAAAAATATAACAATGTGCTTAGCCAAGATAAATCAAGTAGCTCTTATATGTGGGCTACGGATAAATGTTGACAAGTGTTTTAAGCAAGGAGTTTTAACCAGAGATTGCATGCAAATTGATATTACAAGAAAAAATTACACTGTACCAAACTGTAATTATTTAGCTATAATTCCTACAAATGATGACAAACGTTTCAAGCAATTAAGGAGTTTTAACTAGAGATCGCATGCAAATTGATATTACAAGAAAAATTATGCTGTACCAAACTGTAATTATTTGGCTATGATTCCTACAAATGATGACAAACGTTTTAAGCAATTAAGGAGTTTTAACTAGAGATCGCATGCAAATTGATGTTACAAGAAAAATTATACTGTACCAAACTGTAATTATTTAGCTATAATTCCTACAAATGATGACAAACGTTTCAAGCAATTAAGGAGTTTTAACTAGAGATCGCATGCAAATTGATATTACAAGAAAAAATTATACTGTACCAAACTGTAATTCACTTAGCTGTAATTCCTACCAAAAAAAAAAAACGAACCCTCGTTAACCCGAATCTCCCGCTAACTCGAAGCACTTTTTGTTTCCCTTCAGATCATTTCTATACAACTCTACCCTCGATAACTCGAACCATGTTATAAGCGCGTGATAGGCAGGGAAAAAAACCGTGTACGGAAGTTTGAAACACAGAATTTATTTTAAAACAACCGCATCAATTCTCTGTCTTTACTTTTTTGTCACTCGAGTTCAAATTCAATGTCCATCCTTGTATACTTTGTTGCCTAATTGCATTCCCTCCCCATCCATTTGCTTATTTCCTTACTTCCGGTTATTTGCGTCGAAATCCCGATAACTCGAACTTTTTTCGATTTCCCTCGGAGGTTCGAGTTATCGGGAGTCGACTGTATATCCAAAGTTTTAACACCCCCTTTGCTTTGACACGACGATAGTAGACGATGACAAGAATGACGCTCCATGAAATGAACTTGGATGGATTGATTGATTGATTGATTGATTGATTCCCTTTTTTTGACTGATTGAGTTATTGAAGGTGGAAATTGACATCTTCACTCCAGGCTCACCATTATGTAACTCGACTAGCCTCTCACTATAGACCTCATTTTTGTAGAACTAATATTAAGCAGTTCAGCATCCTTTATCGAGGACAAACAATCTGGAATTCTTTGCCAGTTACACTAACCAGCTCCTCTTCCATATTTGTTTATAAAAAAAAAAATCTGAAAAATTCTCATTGATATGTAATCGTTCTGTCGCTTCAGTTTTATGTTTTCTGCACACTCTGCAATCAAGTAAGCCTTTGTGATATAGCTTAAAGAAAACCTCTTAATATAAGTTCCCAGCTTCTTTAGGCTTTCTTGTCACAACAACTTATATTCTAATTAATACCTCTTGTAGCGTTTTATTTTTATGTAATGTGAGTAACTAAAAAAACCCAAATAAATCAAATAAATGAAGTTTAAGCTGCAAAACATGATGGCTATAACTAGGTTTCTCTGTACAGTGGAACCTCGATATGACGCGATATAACGAACCTCTTTATAACGAAGTCCACGGTATAACAAACGTTTTTTTTTTACCCCAGTAATAGTAGAATATATGAGTTACCTCAACATCCAGTCGTTTTGTAATGAAATGAATGAAATCTTAATTCAGTTGTAATAACCAGACGTTTGGAAAATAAAGAAATTTAATAAAGTATACTGTATATGTCATTGGTGTTTGTTGGATAAGAGATGGTTCTAGCCAACTCTGTGCTCAAGGAATAACATTGTCAATAGTTTGCTTTGAGGCAGTCGCGCTTGGACGACTCGTGTTTAAAATGTGCGGACGTCTCAGGAATTAGACTTTCGTCTAATTACAAGCTCAAAAATAACTTAGGCCTCTGCATTAAGATTCCTTCTCTGTCCCATTGTTTTCTTTTGGTTGATTATACATTGTTGAAGGAAAAGGTGCGAAATTTGAAAGGTAATTCTTATAAAAACAACGAAACAACTGAATGAATAGCCTGTGAACAGGCTCTCTTTTTGGGAAAAGGGTGAAAAAAATCGCGAGGAGAGAGAAGGGGAAGGGTCACTCCTTCCCTCTCCTCGTGATTTTTTTCCCTTTCCCCAAACAGAGAGCCTGTTCGCAGCTACTGAATGAAGAAAGATAGAACGTGATTAAGTAAACAAACTCACCAAAACAACTTAAGGTTATTTGCAAATGGGGTGGCTTTATTGCAGCTGTATTTACGTTACAACTTTAAATGGAAGGCCAGCGTTTTTGTCAAAGAAGCTTGACAACATTAAATCGCGATACATTTGTATAGTTAGCAGGTGCTTTTTCAGTAATCCTTATGACAGCTTTATTTCTGCAATACGCCACTTGTTTGTTTACATGCAATGAGACAGGCTCTACCCATAGCAACGCCTCACATGCACACAATAGAGAGTGTAGCAATAGACTATTCTGCAGTAAATACGTCCCCGGAAGATCCAACACCTTTTTAGGCAGCGTCGTCTGCAAAGACGTATAAAATGGCAAACCCTCGGGTCAGACTGTTCTACGGGGGAAAGATGATAAACAGTTATTTTAATAGTACGTTTTTAAATCAGTGTTGGATCAGTGTGAAATTCCTATTTCTTTTTTCACCCAAAACTTTTATTCTGATCCCTTAAACCTTGATCCATTCCCCGGGGACGTAGGTCCTTCTTCAGAAGTGTAACTGGTTTTAATAGAAGCAAAATTTCACGGTGAAACGAGAAAGCGTTTTCAACGAAGAGCACAATGTGACAAAATGGCAGAAAATCAAACAAGTTAGCTATCGCGTGAACCTATGACGAAACACGTCTAAGCTATGTTACATAAAAAATAAAGCATGATAAGAGAAAAGAAACGCGTGACAGAACAACTGTGAAAAATGAATCTCCTGAGCGCCTTTAAAGGGGCTTTATCACGGATGTCTTAATTTCATTTTGTTAATAATGCCAGTTACACCTCCATATTTGTTAAGGTTCTTTAGAAATTACTTTGAATGACCAAATCAAGGATTCGTGACAAACAAATATGTCTTTCAAGCAGTGTATCAAATATTGCAAACAACAAGATTGAACTTTAAAAAAAATAAAATAAAAAAATAAAAATAAAAAAAATAAATAAATAAATAAAAAAAAAAATAATAATAATAAACTGTTAGGCTAACAGATTTTCAAAAAGCACAATAAATTGCAATCCGTTTCAATCTTCTGCCTGTTTGTCTATCTGTGTCAATAAAACCAAAGCTCGATTGAGAAGGGAAACTGAATTAGTTTTTTTATTGACAACTGAGGTTGCGTGAATGTCTGAGGAATAGGACTTTGATATTAGCGATTGGAGGCGGGAAAGCCCCGCTGCTTTGGTTACCTTGTTCAGGAGTCTCAGCAAGGTCGGTTTCTTGATCTTCTTTGGTATCGTTCATCTGTTTCCACTCATCCACCCATGTAGCTTTTCGTTATCAAGACAAATAACAAAAATTACTGCGCTTTTCACAAACATGCGAATTCTGAAGTTCAAAAGCCAACTGACGATTGCGTTTTTCGCTGCCGTCAATCATCTTAACGGACCTCTTAGGAAACAAAACTTTACTTTAACGGGTTCAAAAGGTCATGGATTGTGATTTGTGATTGGTGGATTTCAATCCGTTTTTTGTGTTTCTGTGTTTCCAGGTTCGTTGCTTGTGATCGTAATTAAGTTTGACGGCAGCGAAAAACGCAATTGTGAAGGCGGCTTAGGCGGCTTATCCGGACCCTTAGATAAGGGGGAAGGGAGGCGGTCTCCAATTTTTTTTTTTGGCCCTTCGGGCCTCAGTTTGGTCTGAAAATAGGGAGGGTGGGAGAGGGAGGGGGGGCGAGCCCCTCCCCTGGGCCCGCCACTGTATTGTACAACACCCTCAGGCTGATCAGTGTGCCTATTCTCACCATGTCGCTTTGGGCAATGTGTTGGATATTCTCAAGAGAAGTTACAAGCGAACGGATCACTGGCAATGAAAGGGTTATGGGTATGGCAACCCAAATGCAACTCGAGGTTATTTTGGCAGGAAATTGCATAGCCACCCGCGTCTTGTAAAGCAGAGACAACTAAAGAGTCAATAAAGACGAAAATGGAAAGCGGAAATTGTTTCTGTACCTGTTTTGTCTAAAGTATTAAGCTTAGATCAGTTGTCATGTCCACAAATTTGGAATCAAGAGCAGGAGAAAGACAGAGAAAAATAGAAAGTAGGAGGCAGGCCAGCGAAGCTCAGCGAGAAAAAGGGCGACACAGAGCTAGAGCGAGAGATAAAAAACAAAGGAGACATTTTTTGTTGGAAGAACAACATGAAAATTTTGTAGCGGCGGTGAGAAAATAAGAAATGCTAGCGGCCACCAATGCAAGGTGAAAGTGAGCGGCAGTGAAAAAAAAAAGTGAACGAGAACACGTACGACATTTCCTCCATAAAATGTATTACTAAGACGTTTCTGGAAGTTTCAAAATGTAGCCGTACAAAACAACGGCAAAGAAATGTACAAAAAAGTGTGTTGCACGTGCAAAGTTGCATTTTTGGTAATTAGACATATTAGGGAGCTTAAGCAACGAAGACGGCGACGGCAACTAGAATGGCAAAAAAACAATAGGTTTGATTAGCAAAACAACAACTTTGCACTTCGATGACGCTTTTTTATCCATTTCCTTGCCGTTGTTGCACGACTACAACGTGAAAGTGCCTAAATTCACGTTTTGTCAAGGACGAGAGCACAAGACAACAACGTTCGTTTTCCTTTCCTGAACTTTGATACAGTCTTTTAGAATTCAACTCCAAAAACATTTGCTAACATTTGACAAAGTAAACGAGATGGAATAAGCGCGATAAAAGAAGTTAAAGACGTTTATTATAAGTGAGAATATGTGACATTATCTTAGCAAACGGAATGGGGTACGCCTTTGTTGTTACCTGGTTTAGAATTTTTGGCCTCGTCTTCTTCATTCTTTATTTGTATCCATTCATTCACCCATTTTTCTTTTAACAAAGGGAAACAAGTAGGTAATCAGTCACACAATCATTCAATCAGTCTGCCAGTCAGTTAGTCAGTCAATCGATCAGTTGTAAATTATATATTTTGGTGCAAATTGTCACATTTTCTTTGCAATATTTCATATTCACCTTTCGGCTTTTTTGGACGGTCTGCACTCTGGTCAACTTCTTTGCCTTCGAGATGTTAAACAAACAAAAGAAAAGTAAACAAATAAGTAAACCAATAAACTGATAAAAAAGACGACGTCATCCAGATCCTGAGATAAGGGGGGGTGGTCTCCAAAAATTTTTTTTCGGCCCTTCGGGCGTCAGTTTAGTTTAAAAATAAGGAGGGCCCCCCCCGGGCCCCTCCCCAACATCCACCACTGAGAAGTTTTGAAATGAAAATAGTAGAGTTGAATAGAACTGGAATAATCATAGCCTTGCTTTATATGATTATTGTTCATAGCCTCTCGATTTTGATCTTCAGGCAGGAATACCACGCCCAGATTCACTGATAAAAATGCAAAATGTTACTACGACAAAATGCCTATTTTTATGAATTAATTTATTTAAGCATTTCATCCTCAACTGCTACATCCGGTACCTGCTTCTTCCAGGTTAGACTCTTCCAGTGGATTATCTTCCAACGAGGGCTGAAAAGTTCGGAAAGTAGAGCAAAGAATAATTACATGTTTTTAGCATGTTACATTCTAAGAGAGGTTAGGTATAAATAAGTTTTTTTAATTATGCAAGTATTAACAGCCAATAAAAAAGGAGCAGTCCCTTTTGTTGAACACGAAGTAATGAATCTAGCTTCCCCGTGTTTTAAAAGTATCCACAGAAAAATTAACAATCAAATTAATTGACCAAAAGCCTAACCATGTACTGTCCCAATTGTTATTCTTTCATCATTTTATTATGCATGAAATTTAGTAAGGATTGCTTTATTTTCTTTTATTTAGCCGTGAGAGTACGGTTATCTTTTATATTATTTTTTTTATTTGTTGTGTTATCATTTTGTTTTTTAGTTGATTCACGGTAGCGTTTTTCATATAAATAGATGATCTCTACCTTTGTGGCCTAGAGTCCCTTATAAGAAAATTAAGTGTACTGACTTGCCTTTTCAACAGTTTCTGCGTAAGAAATGAAGACCGTGGATGCAACAACGCACAGCAGTAGCATTAAACGAGCCATCGTGTTAGATTAGTCTTTTGAGGCCTGATCCTTTCTCCCCCAAGAACTTAATGAGTGACAAAAAGGTAGGAGAAGCAGCTAGCTTTATACCAGTTTAATTATGCATGTGCACGAATTTGCTCTCTTGGGATCTTTCATCTTCAAGAAATGATATCGTTGTTATACGTACTTCAAGTGATCACTCTCCTGGAGTGTTCACATTAAGGGGGCCATCAAAACAAGTGGAAACATTTTTTTCGGTGCTGAGTTATGTTCGAGCGCCCGTTGTCTGCACAATATGTTTCCCACAAAAATACCCTGTATATTAATTTCAGCATAATATATATCGGTATCATTTTATCATGAATTCAGTCACAATATGGGGTGTATTTTTTCGAAAACACTTCCTATAACACTTATCAAATTTAAATGAAAATTGCGGGTGCTAAAAGGACTTTTTTTTTGGAAAAATTACCTCATCCAGGTTTGGGCATGGCGGTTTCCAGTTTTGTTCTCCCAATTACTGAAGACTTACAAATCCTCGTTATAATGTTGCTGTATCTCTAGTCCATTTTATTCACACTTCCAAAAACTTGTAGTGAAACTGATCAAGTATTTAGTGGAAGGTTAAAAGAAAGGAAAGACGGAAGTAAAGCGCTCTTAAGAGAGGCCTCGGTTTGTCACGCAGAGGAGCATTGCTATTTCTAACTTAGACCACATATGCCTGTGTAGGTTACTTTGTTATAGTTGTTGTTTTGTTGTTGTTGATCATGAAAAGAGAACTAAAAGCACTACTGTTCAAGCACTCTGTTATAACTATATGTTGAGGCGTGGATACCGGCGGTAAACAATATTGACCTCGGATTGAAGGCCGTTGTCTTCCATAGAAAATAAACTATGTTCCGCCCTACATTTCCCTTCAAGCATTTGTATAGATCGGTATGCGGGACCAACTATTTTTGTCTGAGACTGTAGACCCTTCATGTTAAAGAAACCTGGCAAAGTTCCTAAGACGGCCATGGTGGCCTGAGAGGGTTTGTGCGCGCCTTACTCCAATCAGGAGCACAATCAGCCTGCTAAATACGTTTTCATCACAAGTAATACCAAGTCTCCTATACTACGCACATAATGTTCTCCCAGTGTATGGGTTTCTTCCCTCCTTTCCTGTCAGCTTGCTCGGGTCGTTTTCATACGGGAGAACAACTCAACCCGGGGTTAAACGTTTCCTGAAAAAAAACAAGCGACATTTCGCGACGCCATGCATCACCGGTTTCCCTGCTAAATGACACTTGAGGAACGAGCGCACAAATTGCATAGTGATGACGTGTCATAACCCAGATCTGGTTACTGCTAAACAAGAGGAAACATTTTCTCGCTGCTGAGTTATGTTCGTGCGTCCGTTGTCTGCACAATATGTTTCCCACAAAAATACCCTGTATATTAATTTCTGCATATATATCGGCATCATTTTATGATAAATCAGTCACAATATCGGGTGTATTTGTTCGAAAACACTGCCTATAACACTTATCAAATTTAAATGAAAATTGCGGGTGCTAAAAGGATTTTTTTTTTGGAAAAATAACCTAGTTCCGGGTTTGAGCATGGCAGTTTCCAGTTTTGTTTTCCCAATTACTGAAGACTTACAAATCCTCGTTATAATGTTGCTGTATCTCTAGTCCATTTTATTCACACTTCCAAGAACTTGTAGTGAAACCGATCAAGTATTTAGTGGAAGGTTAAAAGAAAGGAAAGACGGAAGTAAAGCGCTCTTAAGAGAGGCCTCGGTTTGTCACGCAGAGGAGCATTGCTATTTCTATCTTAGACCACATATGCATGTGTAGGTTACTTTGTGATAGTTGTCGTTTTGTTGTTGTTGATTATGAAAAGAGAACTAAACGCACTATTATTCAAGCACTCTGTTATAACTATATGTTAAGGCGTGGATACCGGCGGTAAACAACATTGACCTCGGATTGAAGGCCGTTGTCTTTCATAGAAAATAAACCATGTTCCGCCCTACACTTCCCTTCAAACATTTGTATAGATAGGTACGCGGGACCAAATATTTTTGTATAAGACTGTAGACCCTTCATGTTAAAGAAACCTGGTAAAGTTCCTAAGACGGCCATGGGGGCCTGAGAGGGTTTGTGCGCGCCTTACTCTAATCCGGAGCACAGTCAGCCTGCTGAATACGTTTTCATCACAAATAATACCAAGTCTCCTATACTACGCATATAATGTTCTCCCGGTGTATGGGTTTTTTCCCTCCTTTCCTGTCAGCTTGCCGGGGTCGTTTTCGTACGGGAGAACAACTCACCCCGGGGTTAAACGTTTCCTGAGAAAACAAGTGACATTTCGCGACGCCATGCATCACCGGTTTCCCTGCTAAATGACACTTGAGGAACGAGCGCACAAATTACATACTGATAACGTGTCATAACCCAGATCTGGTTAGTGCTGAGGCAAATTCCCTTCAAAACAAGTGGAAACATTTTTTCGGTACTAAGTTATGTTCGTGCGTCCGTTGTCTGCACAATATGTTTCCCACAAAAATACCCTGTATATTAATTTCAGCATATATATCGGTATCATTTTATGATAAATCAGTCACAATATCGCGTGTATTTGTTCCAAAACACTGCCTATAACTCTTATCAAATTTAAATGAAAATTGCGGGTGCTAAAAGGATTTTTTTTTTGGAAAAATAACCTAGTTCCGGGTTTGGGCATGGCAGTTTCCAGTTTTGTTCTCCCAGTTACTGAAGACCTACAAATCCTCGTTATAATGTTGCTGTATCTCTAGTCCATTTTATTCACACTTCCAAAAACTTGTAGTGAAACCGATCAAGTATTTAGTAGAAGGTTAAAAGAAAGGAAAGACGGAAGTAAATTAATTTAAGCATAATTATATCGGCATCGTTTTATCATGATTTCAGTCACAATATGGGGTGTATTTTTTTCAAATTTAAATGAAAATAGCGGGTGCTAAAAGGATTTTTTTTTGGAAAAATTACCTCATCCAGGTTTGGGCAAGGCAGTTTCCAGTTTTGTTCTCCCAATTACTGAAGACTTACAAATCCTCGTTATAATGTTGCTGTATCTCTAGTCCATTTTATTCACACTTCCAAAAACTTGTATTGAAACCGATCAAGTATTTAGTAGAAGGTTAAAAGAAAGGAAAGACGGAAGTAAAGCGCTCTTAAGAGAGGCCTCGGTTTGTCACGTAGAGGAGCATTACTATTTCTAACCTAGACCATATATGCATGTGTAGGTTACTTTGTGATAGTTGTTGTTTTGTTGTTGTTGATCATGAAAAGAGAACTAAAAGCACTACTATGCAAGCACTCTGTTATAACTATATGTTAAGGCGTGGATACCGGCGGTAAACAATATTGACCTCGGATTGAAGGCCGTTGTCTTCCATAGAAAATAAACTTTGTTCCGCCCTACATTTCCCTTGAAATATTTGTACAGATCGGTACGCGGGACCAAATATTTTTGTCTGAGACTGTAGACCCTTTATGTTAAAGAAACCTGGAAAAGTTCCTAAGACGGCCATGGTGGCCTGAGAGGGTTTGTGCGCGCCTTACTCTAATCCGGAGCACAGTCAGCCTGCTGAATACGTTTTCATCACAAGTAATACCAATTCTCCTATACTACGCACATAATGTGCTCCCAGTGTATGGGTCTCTTCCCTCCTTTCCTGTCAGCTTGCCCGGGTCGCTTTCATACGGGAGAACAACTCACCCCGGGGTTAAACGTTTCCTGAGAAAACAAGCGAAATTTCGCGACGCCATACACCACGGGTTTCCCCGCTAAATGACACTTGAGGAACGAGGGCACAAGTTACATACGGATGACGTGTCATAACCCAGATCTGGTTGGTGCTTTTGATTGGCTGAGACAAATTCCCGTCAAAACAAGTGGAAACATTTTTTCGGTGCTGAATTATGTTCGTGCGTGCGTCGTCTGCACAATATGTTTCCCACAAAAATACCCTGTATATTAATTTCAGCATAATCATTTTATGATAAATTCATTTACAATATCGGGTGTATTTTTTCGAAAACACTGCCTATAACGCTTATCAAATTTAAATGAAAGTTGCGGGTGCTAAAAGGATTTTTTTTTGGAAAAATAACCTCATCCAGGTTTGGGCATGGCAGTTTCCAGTTTTGTTCTCCCAATTACTGAAGACTTACGAATCCTCGTTATAATGTTGCTGTATCTCTAGTCCATTTTATTCACACTTCCAAAAACTTGTAGTGAAACCGATCAAGTATTTAGTAAAAGGTTAAAAGAAAGGAAAGACGGAAGTAAAGCGCTCTTAAGAGAGGCCTCGGTTTGTCACGCAGAGGAGCATTAATATTTCTAACCTAGACCACATATGCCTGTGTAGGTTACTTTGTGATAGTTGTTGTTTTGTTGTTGTTCATCATGAAAAGAGAACTAAAAGCCTCATTATTCAAGCACTATGTTATAACTATATGTTAAGGCGTGGATACCGGCG